TGCCTGTTCTGCTCCCCACTCTGACTCTGCTGAATCCTCTCACTGCCCCTGCATCTCTGGCCTGTACCCCAGTTCTGTATGCACAAATAAATATTAAAAAACAAACAAACTATAAACAATTTACTCTTGCTGGCGCTTCATTGTTTTTCCTTTTCAAAAAATGCTTAAATGTCCCTATGTCAGGGTCTCAGATTATAATTAAATGAATGAAGCTATTAAAAAATAATCATTTATGCCATTCAGGAGTGAGTACTAGCTATAATTCAAAATTTTAAAGTCTCTAGAAAAAACATGCAAAAGAGGAAAGTTTAAATTTAGCTATCATAACTACTATTCTACTAAATATGGTAAAAGATGGAATCTCTGAAAACACCTGGTAACTAGTTTAGCAACTGTCATATCCAAACAGGAGTAAAGATGGATTACTTGAGAAAATTCTTTGGTTTATGAAAAAATGGAACCTGCTAATGGAGGAAAAACAGTGAAATTGTTCTCAGATCTTAAAGGACACGAAAGGAAAGGGGCCTGTATTTACTGAGGAATAACAGCAATACCCTCAAGCGGAGCTCCAGGGCCAGCTGAAAAGGAAAACAGAAAGAAGCAGCTACCCAGAGATGGGTCCCCTGAATGTTACTGCATCCTGGCCCTGGACTCCTAATGAAACAGCTATTTCTAGTTGGATTGAGTAATGGAATATGTTTATTTCTTTTGATCTTTGGTCCTTGCTTCTTAAGTTACCTAATTAGTCCACTCTGTCTCCAAAGTTTGTAGAATTCAAGGGATTTTTAAATACAGCAGTGGTTTACAAAAGTTGAACATGTTTTTCCTATGTCACAGGGGCCTAAAAGCAACCCCTATCTGCCTATGGTGGGGTCTTATTTGTCCAATCTCTTGGCAGCACTCAACCACTACATGTAAAAATCATGATTTTTGTCTGTCTCTCAGGCTGAGACAATTTCAATCCTTTTGGAGTTCAGGGTCCTTGGGTTCACTCTGGGAAAGCTTTCACCAGAACTTCCCTTTCAGCACCAGGGACACTTGCATAAGCACTGATGGGCAGGAAGATCTGCCCCCAAGAGACCGGTTTGCAGAGAGAGGCCTGCATGGTCACAGGCAGGTGGCCTTAGAAGAGCAGCCTCTGCTGGGGGAGGTCAGTGCAGAGAAGCCCTGACATGGTACAGTTCACAGGCAGGCAGGAGGCTCCTGCCCTGCAGAGGGAGAGTGTGGGTGGAAAGGAGCACCTGCATAGTCACAGGTGGGCAGAGGACTGCTGCGTGCTGGTGCAGACTGCATTGATATAGGCAGCTTCTCTTTGGGAGGGGCCCACTCCTTGTGATCCTAGGTTTGTTGACTTTGAATAGAACCTAAAATGACCAGAGATTAGCTAAAGAGCTTCATCTCCATGTCCTTATCTTTTTCCTCTTGGGTCTGAGCTTCACACATAGCCCCCAACATTCTGCTATCTGCTGGCTATCTGACTTCCCCAGGGCATCCATGCCTGAGGACCTTTATTTTTATGGCGGTGTCAAGGATCTTGATTTTTATGGCTGTGTTTGTATGCTAGCCCCTTCTACTCATCTCCCTTGTGTGAATCAATCTTGTGATACTTCCCCTTGCATTCCTTCCTCCATCACTCCCACCTGTAGGAATTACTTCCTTCAGCCAGAGGAAGATACACTGTGTCCCTCCACTCCTTTAAAATAAAGAGGATATGGGCCCTCCCTGGTGGCGCAACGGGTGAGGGTACAGCACTACAAGCTGGCTGCAGCCACTTCAGTGCAAGTTCAATCCCTAGCCCTGGAGTTGATCCACATGGCGTGGCAGACCTCTCCTGACCCGCCCACTGCTCCCCACAGCAGTGTACTTCGTTGATCTGCCTACTCTGCTCCCCACTCTGTCTCCAATGAATCCTCTCACCGCCCCTGCACCTCTGGCCTGTATCCCAGCTCTGTAAGCATAAATAAATTTTAAAATTCTAAAAAATAAAATAAAATAAAGAGGATGAAAAATTTCTCTGGGGGAATAAGACAGGAAGGGTCCTGGAACAGAGACAGAGGAACAGGACTCAAGGACATAATTTTGTTGTTCTCATTGGGCTAATAAGCAAGTTGTTAAATATATATGGAAGGAGTCAAAACCTCCTAAGAGGGAGTGTGGCCCTAGGGTGTGATAAATTGAAGTTCTCCCCCCCCCCCCACCTATCCTGTACCTGCAAAACATCTGTGCAAAATTCTGGGTAAGATGACCTAAACCCCACTTGTTGAAAACCCCTCTATCTTGGTTACTCTCTGGGGACTGTTAATGGGTCCATAGTCTTGCTAAATATAAAAACAGGTCACAACCCATTCATAATCCCATCTCAGTCCCCTCAAATTAAATGCACTTACATCAGCAGCTCAAGGCCCAAGGTGTGATACGCTCCTGAGTGTGTCCTATTGCTTGTAATGCAAGCTTCACGTCTAACTCGCTTACTCTGACTCCTACATGAATTCTTTCCTACTCTGCAGTGAAGAACCTCACTCCTGGGTGACAGGCCTTACTGCTCCCAACTCACTCTTGTAACAAGGTGGTTCCCAGGAAAAGGGGAGGTTCCAGGTTCCCTGCTCCACTCAAAGGAGGAGAAGAATCCAGAGAGGAGACTGAAGAGGAAGGAAGCGGGATGGAGAGCCAGAAGGAGACCTGAGGGAGGCACATGGAGCAGAGAGACATGTGAAGAAACAGCTCTTGTTTCTTGGTCCTGGACTGGTTGAAACAGACGTGGGTGAGAGACCTGTGGGGAGGTTAACTATAGCAGTGCTTATCTTGATTTTGATTTTGGTCTTTACCTCCCAGACTTATCTGGCCATTTCTGACCACCCCCCCACACTTATTTTCTCTTTGTAGCAGTTTCATTACTTTAAAAAAAAAGCTTTTTAATAATAATTTATTTTACATATTTTTGTACATTTTTTTCCATCTCAGTTGCAATCCCCGTGGGCTTCCCAACACCAAATCACCCATGTGCCATCACCATAGTCCAGTGCACTTCTCTAGCCACAACCCCTCCCGCCCCGTTTTTGATCCCATTCCCCACTCCAACCCCACAAAATATCTCTGGTATGTAGCTGTTCATCATTATTATTTTCTTGCCTGTTCTGTTATATCTGACCCTTTTCTATGGGTCTTGGTCAGAAAGTACTTTAGATTTGTGGCAAACTTTCAGGCTTTGCTTTAGACCAATCCCTTTTGGGTAGAATTTCACCCACGAGGGGATGGACAACTTTGGGTGTTTGATTTAGAAACTATAGACTTTTTCTTTTCTATATAGCACACTCATTGTATTAAAGTTCCTTTCCATTAAAGGTCCCCACCTTTTGTTTTGTCTTTATGTGGCAGATGGCAGAACCTATTTAAAGTGG